GGGCGGCGGTTTCCCCCGAATCCACGTCTCAGCTTTGTTTAGGAACTGCCCCATATGTTAATTACCCCGTCACCTCCGCGCAGTGGCACTGTCAGGCTGCACACCAGTCTTTAGGAAATAAAAGCGGCGCCCGTGCGCCCGCCGTACCCTGCTCGCAGGATATCCAGTCGCTGACAACGCCCGAGCTGTCACATGAGAGGCAGCGTCACCAGAATAAAGGTGGGCAGATGTGCGGTAATGAGACAGAAGCGTGCAGATGCTAATGGCACGCCGCGCCACCCGGGCGCCTTAGTTAGACGGAGCAGGTAGCAGCTGCCGACTGTCAGCAAGCCCGCATGCGACTTTCTCTTGATTCTCATTTAAGAGCTGCTTGCACTCTGCTGGCTGTCAGTGGACTTTTCCCTCTCAGGAGCCCCAAACCCTAGGTGATCAGTCACATTCCGACATAACTAGGTGTCAGAAGAAGTTTAAGTTGTATGATGACGAACTGTGACGCAGTGACTGCCAGCCTCCGTGGCGGTTTCTTAATGATCTGCCTGGAAACGCTGGCGCCTTTTCCTGCGTTGTGTTTTCTTATTAAAATACCCGGCTAAGTCTCTGTCAATATCCATGCCGGCTACTGTGAGCTCAGGACAATATTATCCCGAGCATAATTTGATTTTCATTGTGGAACCTGATCAGGCCCAAGCCGTCCGATAGCGGGAGGTTTGCGTTGAACAAACAGGAGCTCCCTCCAAATAGCCCACTTTAGCATCGTTCATGAAAAGGAAGTCTTTTGGGGGATTTGTCAGCCCCACTTGGGACTTTGGCCATGAGAGGAGGAACCCGGGGCTGGGTGAGGGGTGCCCCCGTGGGCTGTGCCCGGGTTGAGAGTGTGGGAGTGAAGCAGAGAATGGCAGATCGGGCCTACAAGAAAGTGGCTCCCACCATCAAAAACCAGGAAACTGAAATAACCTGAGAATTGTCATCTGGCATTCCAGCAAAACCTCTGGACCGGAGGGTGAACTTTGTCAAGTGCTCATGGGCCTCTGTGTGCCCTGGAACCCCACCCCCACCCCCCGATGGTGCCCTTTGGGCCCGGGCTGCAGGGGTGTTTAGCACAGAGGGGCTGGGGACAGGTGGGCACACGTGACACCCGCCATGACCCATGCAGCGAAGCCACCAGCTCCTGCCCTTCTTTCTGAGGAAGGCATTTCTTGGAGCATTTAATTGGGTCGGGTCAGTTTGTTCTCTAAATATTTTCATCTTCTCCTGCCACTGTTTACATTTCCATTGGGAAAATAAATACTGCATGTCGCTTCTGCCTGCTGTATTTTCTTAGAGATTTTAATCCGGATTCCTCATGAAAGGTTTGCACACACACAGACACACACACACACACACACACACACACACACACACTCCAGCCCTGGTGTGAAGGCACCACAGTTCATAAAGTGCTTTTCTTTCTTCCCTGCAGAGGGACGGGTCACGGAAACCCAACGCCGCCTGGACATAATGGGGCATTCGAAGGAATCTCACGTTTTGACAGTTCTCAATCAGGGAACCAGCCAGTCTCATCCAGAATGTTCTAAGCCACCACCTTTCTCATCTTTTTCATCTCTTCAACCCCCCATCCCGCGCCCGCCGCCTGCCCCCAGTGCAGCTGGCCACCGCGTCCCCCGTCCCCGGCTGGCTGTGACGTGCTCACGCCCTCGCGTGAAATGAGGCCTCGTCCCTGGATCCTGGTGTTTAGTAGCCTGAAGCTCATTAGTACTTTGCTGCTTTACCCTGGAGTTTTAAATTTTTAAGCAGCTAGGATTCGTCTAAGAGGTCTTAACCTTATAATTTGTAATAACTTAGAGATCACGTATCTAAAGCGTGGGTTATTAAAAAAAAATACTCCTTTTCCTTGGCCAGCCATTGATTTACTTCCTCTTGCAGTCAGAGTGAGCGCTATTAAATCAGGAGATGGAAAATGCTCATTTATTTCTTCTTAGTAAAACACAAGCAATTATGAGACATTTCTTAACGTGGATTGATCTTGCTTTAAACGGAAGCCCAGACTGTCAGAAGCGACTAAATGGGCAGCAAAGAGGGAAGACCAGCGAGTCCAAGGTCCACCAGACGGATACGACCGATGCCGGAATATCCGTGAACTTGAACCTTAGCCTCCCCGCAAAATGTGGACAAGTACATGCTGATTCCCGACGGCTTTGGGCCCTGCGCTAAGCAAGGCAGCGTGGTGGAAAGCGCTTCAAGGTTTGGATTCGGGCACAGGAGCTGTTTAATTCTGGTCAAGTTGCTTAACCTCTCTGGGCTTCGGACCTTTTTCTCTATTAAATAGTCACAGACCCTGCCTTCTAAGTGTGAAATGAATATTAAAGGCGATACCCTAAGTCAATTATCCAACATGATGCTGGAGACCACGTAGCTAACAATAGAAACGCCACCCTCCAGGCATGAGGGAGACGGTACAGACACGGCGATGACCCAGCCCCGGCCCCCGAGAACTCTACCGTGTTGAGGAGGGAGAAAGACACCCACACAAATAGGGCTAATTATTATGCGCCAGGAACCAACACTGCTAGAACCGGGCTGGGCTCCTGCTACACAGACTAAACTTTGTCTAAAAATTATCTGAGGACCGCCTAATGTGTGTGGATGCCACACATGTCAGATGTGTCAGCCTCTCCCAGTAATGACTCTCTGACATAAACAGCGAGGAAGAAATATTGCAATCGCCGAGGGTGCGGGAGCCGGCATGCATTTTCATGAGAGGCCTTGGAGGACGGCGGCCCAGCCCGGCGGTCGGCTCCCCCTGCCAGCACGGCCGGCCGCAGAAAGCTCCCGTCCCCCCAAAGACAATTAAAATGAGTTAAATGAATTAAAAGGGCCCTTCCCCGGGAAAGTACAGTCAGAGGTTAGGAACAGTAGTATCTGGATTTATGGAAACGCCGTGGCTGCCAAGCCTTAGGAATTGTGGGTCACGGGGGAGTCATTTCAGTGGTAACCTAAACAGCTTATGAAATTGGAGGCAATATACATAATTTTACATTTCTGGGAGGCAGTTTTCATTCTTTTGTTTGTGTTGGCTTCTTAAGTCAAGAGAAATATATTCTCCCCCAAAATCAGACTTAGAGGGGAAGAAAGAGAGAGAAAGAGAGAGAGACAGAGACTGCATTCTTGTGTTTATTAAAATAATGCGACAACTGAACAAGGATTTTCCCATTTTGAGACAATGGAAAGAGCAGGCCTAGAGACCTGCAGACCCCGGGCAGCAGAAGGGGTAAGAATGTTCCTAGCCACATTTCAACACCCACCAGCTGTGAATCTCTTGCAAGTGTCTTAACCACGCTGTGCCTCAGTTTCTTCATCAGTAAAATGGGGTCACACGTTTTGACCTTGCAGAGCTGTTAGGACAGCGAAGTGAGATAGCGCACATTTAGTGCTAAGCCAGGTGTCTGCCATGGTCAGAAGTCTGCATGTCGGCTTTTGTTGCTATTGATATTGTCGCTACCACCCTCGTCTCGGGAAGACAGTGGTGACACGGTGAAGGTATGGCGGGGGCTGTGGGGGGGACAAGGGCCTCTGGGTCTCTCCAAACTTGCCCGAGCACCAGATGTTGCCAGGCTGTGGGGCCCACAGGAGGCTGGCTATTAAAGGCGTTCCTGCTGTTCTCCCAAATGTCCCGGTCCCCCGCACACCCAGATCTGGTCTCCCTGACCCTTGGCTCATTCCGTCAATTTCATAAGCAATTCTATGGAGGCTTCCGGCCTCGCAGAAGAATGCGGCCCTCGACTTTCCCCAGCCGGCCCCTGCCACCCCCCAGGTCCCCAAAGTCCTCCAGCGAGCCACCGAGCGAGCGTGTGTACTCTCTTGCCCATAACACGCACAAACCCCATCAGAAAGCATTTGTCTACACCTTCTTTATTCACTTTCAAAGGGTTAAACAGCCTATTTACTGGGCTGTCAACAATCCGAGGCCCAAATCGAGAAGAAAGCCCCGTCCAGTTTTGTGTGGCGAGCAGCCTTGTCTGTCCCGGCCTGTTCTTGTTGCTGTCATGTAATATCCATGACAATCGTGTTGGGCTTTTTTTTAGGGGCTCGGTGGGGCTCAATCTGAGGGGCCACTTTAAGCCAGGAAAGGCCTTTATTTATGTGGATTTGAAAGGGCCCTGTGACCGTCCTTCCCCTCAGAAGCCCCTTCCGCAGGTCACTGCGGTTTCAAAGGGATTTAAATGCGGAGGCTGCGATCAGTACTTCCCTCACGTTCTAATAGACTGACATGAGCGTTTGTGTCTGCAAGACAGGGGAAAAAGTGATGCAGATTTTCCCTAAATTGGACTGACGCACAAAGCAGGGAGGCGACGGGCGCCGAGGTAACCCCTCGCACCCTCTTTCACACTCCCAACCAGCGCCGCACAAAGCCCGAGCCGTGGGAAGCTGCCCAGGAGCCAGGCCGGGCCATTTCCATGGGCCATATGGAAATTTTGTTTTGTGTACAGAGAAAGTGTCTGATAACAGTGACCTTAACTGCCATATGTGGGCAGTGAATAGAGCAGAGGAAACCACTCAGCAATCTGACCCTCAACATATGGACTCTCCGCCCAAGGAGATTTTCATTGCCATCGCGCCGGCCACCCGGGGGATTTCATTAGATTTGTTAATGAATTGCTCTATTGACTTATATCTGAGCTTGCCTCATTAGAGGAGAAGAACACAATTTTTATCTGTGTTTTCGTGAAGGGGACCAGAGCGTCCCCTCCTTTGTGGGGCGCTGGGTAATCTTCCGGGCTGTCATCGGCTCTGAACTAATTTATTGTGTCAGCTGAAGCAGGCCTTCCGCGCTGCTCGGGGCTCGAGCCCGCTCCAGGCCTCTTCAGATCGATGTTTTCCTCGTGAGCGGCCGTTTCCGAGGCCCCTGCTTGGTTTACAAACAGCGAACACGATGTCGCCCCGCTGCTGCGCGTCTCTGGGGCGCCGGCCACACGCGGAAGCCGCGGGTCCCCACGGCCTGGGCTGTCAGGAAGGGGCTTTGAGGACAGCGGCGTGCTCCGTGCCCAGGTGCCCCCAGCCGTCCCCGCCCAGCGCCGGCGGCCTGGGCGACATCACCGCGTGGGGCACACCCCCCTGCCAAGTTTGGGGTCCCACAAATCTCCCTAATCTCCAAGCCTTACTGGTAATGACCCAATTGTGTGAGAGGGCTTGGGTTTTAGAGCAATCAGAGCTGTCAATTAGCATATTATTAGGGGTAAACCAATAAAGAACCCATTATGGCTAATAGCGAGTGCGGAATCGCGAGGAATTAGCAAAATGAGATTCGATAAAATGGAAACCATAAAGATAAGCTTCTGAAGATTGGATCTTGGGTTTTCTGAGCTTACGCCTCAAATAAACAAACGAATGATACCCACCAAAGCCTCCCATTGGCTCCTCTTTCCCAAGCCCGCGAGGCCAGGGAGAACTTCCTGAGTGGGAGCTGGGAAGAAAGCTGGTCGGCCCCACGACCCGGATGTGGTTTGTCCAGGGGGCGGGGCGAAGGGAGGAAGTAGGCAAACGCTTAGAACACATAATAAACACGGGGCTCACTACCACCTATATGAGTCCCCTGTGTTGGGATATGGCACAGAAGTCCTCAAGCCCGTGCACTGGCCACTCTGGCAAATACACTTGACACATGGAGAACCCAAAAAATTGGAAAAAGAAAAACAAAGCTTCTGTCATTGTCCCAGTGAGAATCTGGGACTCTCATGGGTCCTGCAACAGCAGCAATGCCAGGGCAGGGATGCAGGGACATTGCAAGTGACAGTGTCTCTCCTCAGAGGAGTGATGTGAGGTGTGGCTGGCGTTCACCCTCCACTGGGTCTCAGAGTGGAAACTAGGTTCTCTGGCTTAGCTCCGCCTTCTCCAAATGCTCCACAGCAGAGTGGAGACGCGTTCTGCTGTGCAGATAGAGAAGCCCATTGGGAATGTTGGTACCCATGGGAGGCTCAGAGAAAGAGGAGCTCCCACACTGGGGATGACAACATTTGTTCTGGACAAGGGGTGTGTCCTTGGAAAGGAGGCCTGTAAGATCAGAAAATTTCTATATATGAGGATTGGGTGCCTGGGGGGAGTGGGTATGAGGGAGTACCATAAGAGTATGAGCAAGGACTTGGCCAGATTTTACCAAGCACGCTGCTTTTGTCAAGACAGGATCATTGGGTTGTTTGCCCCGACCTCACACATGCTTGAGGTCAACTGTTGCCTTTATCATTGAAATACCATTTGGCTGGGTATAAAATTCTTCCTCTTCTTCAGAACTCCATAGACATTGTTCTACTGTCTTTTGGCACTGAATATCATACTAATTCTTTACCATTTGCTTCTTGGTTGGCTACATTTAATCACTGAACACTTTTTAAAGAAAACTTTTCAAAAAGAACTGTGTTGCTATATTTCATAATATACTTTATGTTTGAAAATGTTTCCCTATTGCTTTTATACTTGCACGACAACTTGAGTAGATTTAATTCACTTAAGTCACCCATTCTTTTCCTCAGAACTCTGTCGACATTCCTCAGCCATCTTCTATCTGTGAATGTTCCTCACTGGGGATGACTTCTCTGTTGCCAATTCCTTCATGTGGTTCCCAGGGGCCTGAAGATGTATTTCTTTTCTACTGGAAGTCTAAGAAGTTGACCAGGGAATGTCTCAGTGTCCCTCATTCTCCATCGGCACTTCCTGGAACATAGCACACCCTTGGAAACTATAGACTTAGATCTTTCTTTGTCTCATGGGAATTCTATGCTGTTATATCTTTGGATATTTTTGGGTTCTGTTTGTGGGATTCTCTAATTCAGGGTCACTACATGTCCTTATCTTGCATAGATCCAATAGGCTTTTAATTCACTGATGTTTAGTGATCATGCTTTTATCTCCACAGACCCCAGGCCTGTAAGTACCTGGAAGAAAGCAAAGCATCTTATTTATCTTTGTTCCCGCAGATCCAGCCCGTGATAGATGCTCAATACGCAGCCGTGGCATTAACCTGCACGTGACCTTGTTGGTTAGAATTTAAACTCGGTTTTGAGAGAAGTTCAGAGTCATCGGAGGTTTTTGATGTAGGTGGCGGCGGTTGCCATGACCCGACATGAACACATATCGCCTCCAAGCGTGGGGGGCGTTCCTGCAGAAGGGTGGTGGGGCCACCCTTGATAGGGAAAGTAAAAAAGCAAACGCAGGTATTTTAGACTCCTCCCAGTAGAAAAATTCAAGCCCACATTTCTGCATGGAGAGCAGGTGGCTAACGGGAAGGGCCATGGCCTTTGTTCCCGGAAAATGGCTGGAAAGTTCTGTAGGCCTCCTTTCCTCTTGGGGTTTTTCTTCTTCTTTGATGTGCAATTTATAAACTGATTGCTAGCACCAAACTCCCCAAAAGATTGGCACGTTAAAAGTTTTCTGAAAGATCTTTGTGTCCGTGAGAACCCAGGCAGGAATCAGGTGGCACATTCAAAGGGCTCGTTTAAAGAGTTTGGTGATGACGTGATGCACAGAGGTGTGGCCTGGGCCAAGGGGACCACCAAGGGATGTGGAGGCACCAGTGGGAAGGGGCTGCCACCCCTAGACCTACAGGGGCAGGGGCAGAGAACCGCTGTGGAGCGTGATGGGAGTGTTGGCCACTGGACAGGAGCCTCCTTCAAGGCTCCGTGCCCACCCTCCCACCTCCCCCCTGCTTTCCCCTCGTCCCTCCCGCAGCCCAAGCCCAGCTGGGAGTCAGGAAACCTGAGTGACGCCATTAGCCACAGAGGTGGCCCCGGGTCCGGAGCTGGGCAGGAAAGAGCAGAGCGTGGATCGGGAGGGACCCCGTCCGCTCTAAGGAGACAGCCTCCCTCATAACCGAGTAGATCCAATCACAAAAATCCAAACTAAACAAATTCCATTTTTCTCCTATTAGGTTGACGGGGACGGAAAAATTTGAAAACCAGCTGGGTGGATGAGGATGTGGGAAGAAAGAGGCACCCTCCTATGGCATAGGAGGGAGGGTGACAAGGAATGACCTCTAAGAGTGCACTTTGACAGCAGCCGTCAAAGTGACAAGTGCACACACCCCGTGACAGAGAAATTCCACGTCCAGGAAGCCATCCCACAGAGAAATTCAAACCTGGACACAATGCCGCGTGCCCAGGGCTATTCATTACCGCATTGTTTGTAATGGCAGAACGTTGGCCCAAACCCAAGCATCCATCAGCGGGAGACCGGTTAAATCAATCACAGTTCCCCACACAATGGAATACTATGCAGCCAGAAAAGAAGAATGAGGAGACTCTTTCTGTAATGACTATTGTTAAGCGAAGAAAGCAAGGTGCAATCATTTGTACCGAAGCGTGGGGAGTGGGGAGAGAGATAGAGCAACGTGATCTCTTTGAACCACGGACACAGAAGAAACTGAGGACGTTGCTTGGGTCCAGCAAGGGGACTGGGTGACTGGGGGACAGCACAGCAGGGAGGTTTCACTGTCCGACTTTTAGGTTTTTATATATACAATAAGTATAGGCTTTACCTATTCAACAAATGCATAAAGTGCACATTTTTTAAAATCCTGTTTAAAAGCTCATACCTGACCACCTCAGAACAGTGAACCGTGTGTATGAAAAACTGAGCGTGCAGAAACTGACGCTAGGGTTCCGGACTGCCGAGGGGTCTGCTGCGATTGTCCGGGATGATGCTGTCCTTACCCACGCGCTGCGAGCATCCATGAATCAGTGAGCAATGGAAAGGACTAGATGCCTTCCCTAGAAGCTTTCTGGCTTTAGTATTAACAGGACACACGCAAGCAGTGACTCCCTAGCCACCCTCTCCCAGCGTATGTGTTGTTGGCAAGCGGTGTTGGCAGAGGCAGGAAGAGCCTCTGGGGGCTGCTGCTGGCCCCTGCCCTGTGTCCTCTTAACACTCACCCACGTCACCCAAGTCACCATTCTCTCTCCTGTTTTATTCTGCTATGTCCCTTGAGCCACGACTTACATTGCAAGAGCCCCAGTCCCTCCTGACACTGAGCCTCAGGGCTGCCACCTCCTTATCTCGGGATTAGATAGGAAAGATAGCGCGTGTCATCACGGGAGCAAACATGAGAATCCTTGGCTTCCGCCTGCTTCATGTCCACACTCATCGCACTCCTCCACCCCCTGCCTGTTCGCGCCCGGGGTCCCCTTGCCGGAAGCTGTGGCTCTCTTGCTGGACAGGAGAAACAGGCACACCAGCCTGGGGCAACGGCAAGTGTGGCATGGCGGGCGACACTGAATAACCACAGCTGGGGTGCTCGCTCCACTCCGGCCACACTGAATTCTTGCTGCTCTTGAGCACGACAAGCAGGCACCGGCCGTGGAACCTCTGCCTCGGTTGCTCTCTCTGCTTAGAACGCTCTTGCCTTGGATAAAAACATGGCCCTTTCCTCTGCCTCCTTCAGGCCTCTGCTTAAATGTCACCCACTCAGCAAGGGCCTCCCCGACCACCCTGAAATGCCAGCCCCCATCCCATGCCAGGGGTCCCTGCTCCACTCGCTGGCTTTGGGTTTCTCGATAGATCTTGACCCCATCTAACATGAAATAGAGTTTATTACTATTTGCTCAATTTTTTCTGTACATTATCTGTAATGTAAGCCTCATAAATATTGCACTTACTCCCTCTGTTTTTCTCACTGATGAACCTTTAGCACCTGGAAGAGCTCCTGGCACTGCCCTGCTCAGTGACTGTTGAATTACTAACTTAGTCGTGGCTCCTAATCTCAGTAGTTTTTGTCCCTTTACCTTTGTGTCTCAACCACTGGCCTATGCACTTCCTCCACTGTCATTAATACGACTCTAGGACCGACCACAGTACTGGGTGGCCAGGTGATGCTCAGGAAATGTTTCAGATGGAGGGGTGGATAAAGGCTCTTTGTTTCATGATCTTCACTCTTGATGGTTTTTGCTCTGATGGTACAGGACTGGCATCGGCCACACGCAGACACAGCAGAGGTCACTTAGGGTCCTCTGCTGATGTCTCCTCCACTTGATTTTCTTACTTTTAGTTTTTTAGACACATTTTGGTTTAGGATGTGTGAGAGATGATGAGATGATGAGTTCTAGAGACTGGGGAACTGTGGGCCGTGTCTTGATGATAAAATAGCATCTGGCAGGTTGACTTCAGGGATCTAGCTCTTTGCTTTTGGACTCTGAAGTTTAGCTTTTCTTGGAGAGAAGCAGTTACTATGATGGATCTTATTCGTATAATAAGGAGAGGCTCCCCCTTGCTGCTTGCCTACCCATGTCAGGAACGAAGCACTCAGTTACATACAGTAATTTAAACTTCATGGCAACACCATGGGATGGTTACTGTTTGCAGAAAAGGTAACTAAGCTTCCGAGAGATAGCTCTGGAAACCGGTGAAACTGGGGTCTAAATCCAAACCTGATAATCTCTAACTCTTCAGCTTAATCTTACATGTTTCTCTGCCATCATGCTACGGAAGAGTGATGCATTGAGTGTGTTTGTAGCAAGGCGAGATATTAGTCAGGGTAGACTGTTATAACAATGCCCTCAACTTCAGGGATATAACACAACCATTGCTTATTTCTCATTTGTCATGGCCCCCAAAGGGCCCGCGGTGCGTGTGTCTCTGTGTGTGCATGTGCGCTTTCACTCTGCTCCATACAGACATTCAGGGATTCAGGCTCCGGCCTTCTAACGGCTCCCATCCATCCCTCAGGCCTTTGAGTCTTCCACTGGACACAGTGTATCTCTCCCTGTATCCAGCAGGTGGAGGAACTAAGCACATGGAGTGTTCATGAGCCAGGCCCGGAAGTGCCGTGCCTCACTTCTGATCCCCTAACTCCGGCCAGCACGGAGCAGTGGCCACAGCTGCTCCTAGCTACGAAGGAGACTGGGAAATGCAGTCTACCCATGTGCCCAGGAGGAGAAAATATGGGATTTGGTGAACACAAAACATAACCTCTGCCACAGGAGGGAATGAAAGGGAGCGTTCCAGAATGAAGTTGCATAGCCAGCTCTTAGTTATCCATGTTATTAAAAAAAATAATAATAAGCTTGAGTTAGGAGTTGGCCAGAACAGCAGGTAATTAAAACAACAACCATATACAGTAGAAACTCACCTGACCAGACTTCTCTGTTAACGTGCTGTTTTGGTTAACGTGATATTTTGGTTCAATGAGGGGTAGCCAAGAAATCTTTTGGTTTCAAATCTCATTGCTGAAAATCTTTGCAAGATGCGGTTTTGCACGTTCCTGCCTCGGGAGGTTCAGTGCGGTGAATTCAGCAGAATATTTTCTCAGTGGCTGAGGCTCTCCCAGGGCTTCCGGGCTGCCATTCGGAATGAGCATCAGTTTCAGGACGCAGGCTGGACCGCACGAAACGGAGAGGAGGCCCCCTGGATCAGCAGCCATCAGAAAATGTCGTCTTTGATATTTTTATCCCAACTTTTTTTTTTTTTTTTACTTTATCTGGCTGATTACAAAAATCATTCATAATTCATTGTAGAAATGCTGGAAAACATAGAAAAGCAAAAATGACAGAGCGAAATAAACTGTCATTTTGTTAATGTAGAATAGCCACTGGTAACATTTTTGGTTACATGGGCTTTGGCTGTCTTCCTCCCTTTCTTCTTTCTCTATGCCATTGGAATATTTATATAATTGTAAATATACTTTTACATTTCACAGTTTGTCTTATTATTAATTATGTCATGAGGATTTGCCTGTGTTATTAACGCAGCTTTGAAAATGCCATTTTAGACTCATCCTAATATTCCATCATGAATAATTGTGATATCCCCAGCTTTTTTCCTGCAATTGAGCTGAACTTATTTTTCCCTTCCAACATTATAGATAGTATTGCAAGAGATACATTTGTACATAAATATTTATTTGCTTCATTAATATTTTTAGGATGTTCTCCTAGAAGTGGCAAGACCAGCTCAATGGGCATAAATATTTTTATGTTTGGAACTGTGACCAACAGGGAAGGTATTTAATTATATTCATTTGCCATATGAAAAACAGAGTCTTATCATTGAGTTTACGTTTCTGTGATTACCAGTAAGAGTTTTTATGCTTTTTAGCCACTACGTTTTCTGTACCTAATCTATTCCTATCCCTTGCCTACATTTTCTATTAACACTCAGCATTTTTAATTGATTTTTATGACCTGTTAGTTCATTAAGGATAATATCTTTGTCATTCTCATGGAAAATATTTTCCCATTTGTTGCCACTGTTTTAAACTTACTGTTATCAGTGTATTAACTTGTCATTTATCTTTTTTGCTCTAGAATAAGTTGTAAAGGGACACGTTTCTGGTTAATTGAGAATTCTAATTAGTTGACTTCTGGTCAATTAACCCATCAAGATTTTTCTTGCTTTCACTTCAGGACATGTTGCCAAAGCAAATAAATTTGAGGATTGCAGGTTAAACCAAGTTAAGCAGGTGTCTTTATTGCAGAACTCACCAGAGCCTTTGACAGGCTAATACACCTATGAATCTCCAAGACAGGGTGTTCAATATTCTCACATTTATTTGACCATAAAAAGCCCCCCTTATTTTGAAGAGTATCCTTTGAGAATATACTTGGGCAGAGCAACCTTTGAAAAATGCTACCTTAACCCAAAACCATGATTCTAGCTGTGTGTATTTCAGGCATTGTAATAAGCTGGTAGAGGAGATATTTGGTGGCATCAATAAACAATTGGGTAAGAATGTTAAATGCTTACTAGTTGTCAAGACCTTTTTCTATTTACCATCTCATCTAATCTTCCCAACAGGTCTATGGAGTGCTGTGTGACCGGAGCCTAAGAGGTTGAGAATCGAGCCCCGATTCCCTGTAACCTGTGAGATTGCAGGCAATGAACTTCACCCCTCTGCACCTCAGCTTCGCCCCTTGCATAATTCAGATAGTAATGGCACCTTTCTCATAGAGTTGCAATGAGGATTAAAAGGAAGAGCATTCATATGGCGCTTAGAACAGTGTATAGTAGATTCTGTGCATTCAATTTGCATTAGCTCTTTCCATTCACATATTGTAGCTGAGTAAGCTGAGGCCAGAGAGAGGAACTAACCTGAAGAATATCGTGGTGGTAGTAATGGGAAAGGCTGGCTTTGGCCGTAGATGATCTGACTTCAGAACTTGGTTCTTTGTACTCATGCTATACTGCTCCAGTGAAGAGCTTGGCATCCTCATACCTCTTTCCACGCAGGCTATAAATATAGATTGTGTCTTGTCCAGGCAGGCAGGGATGGGCTGGCTTCCCAAGCACATTCTCACTCCCTCTTCCATGGAGTGCAGTTAATGAAGTAGGGCAGCTGCCATGCCCAGGACTCGGTTTCCTAGGCCCCCTTGCAACTGGTTCTCACCAATTAAATGCATCACTCTGGGATCACTCTTAAATGAATGGGTACCTTCTTCCTTCTCTCTTCCTGCTTCTGGCAAATACAGATTGCTATGGAGCCCTAGGGGATGGCGGAGTTATAAGAGAAGGATCCTGGGTCTCCAAATCATCACTTGGAAGAAAAATGCCCTCTGCCCAGGTTCACCTGCAATTGATTAATAGG